TATCTTGTCTCTGGGGAAGGAAGGAAGGAAAAGACCCTCAACAAGATGGACTTCGGCGTGGTGGAGATCCTGAGGATGGTGTAGAAAGGGAACGCTTCAAATCTCCTGATCAAAGATTACTGTGAGTCATATTTGACTCGCTGGCACCTAATAACAATGTAGCTTTCAAAAAGACACTGAGGTGTAAGCACAGCTCAGAGATATTGCTGGTTGTGTCCGAGGTACCACAATGAAGCAAGCTGTTGTTATTATGTGCTATCTAGTCAGAACTGACTCAGAGCTGATTCACAGTGGGCTCTCAGAGGCTGTAAATCACATGAGAAGAGACTGCCCATCTTTCTCTCACAGAGTCCCTGGTGGATTCAAACTGCACACCTTTGGGTTGGTAGTACAACTCTTTAACCACTCAGCCACTAGAGCTCCCTCAGTGAGCCAAGTATCACATTAGCGTTAAATGACTTCTTTGGTTTCCCAGCACATACACAAGTCACATCAAGGGGGCAGGAGCATAAGAACAGGGTTCAAAATAGGCTGAGAACAACCAAAACGTAACAGAGACACAAAGTGAACATAGGCGGTTGGAAAAAACAGCACAGATTTACTTATCAGAGGGTTGTCACAAATCCCCAAATTTAAAAAAATAAAACAGTCCAGTGAAGCTCAGTAGAGTGGAGCTCACCAAAAGGAGGTGAGCCGTATATAGAGACTCACGGAGGCCAGACGCTCAGCTAAGCCTTCGGTGCATGTCAGCTGTCAAGGGATCCTATTCTTATACTCAGCCTGGCGTCTGAGGCCACTCCCAACCTGGCCCCATGGCCCCCTTGCTCCTGGATGGCCTCAGGGACCACTCAGGCCCTGGTCTGCCCTCCCTGTCCTGTTTCACATGCCTTCTTCAGGCAGCCACGCTTTATACAAACATCTGTGTTGGGAGGTAACTTAAAGAGAACTCAGCTAACACCCACCCATTAGCAGGACAAATGCTGTGGGCCAGAGCTGGACATGACTGGCCCATGAACCTGAGGCAGAGTTCAGAGACCCCACACCTTGAAGCCTCACCTTCAAAAGGTCGAGAGGAAGTGTCCCCCAACCCTGCCCTCCCACACACCCTGCACCCCCGGCTGGCACCCTGCCCTCCTGCACACCCTGCACCCCTGGCCAGCACCCTGTCCTCCTATAATCTCTCATAAGTTATGCTAGCCAGAGACAGGAGCCTCTGGGCTGGAGCAGGAGCCTGGGATCCTTTACCTGCCTCCTCCCTGGAGCACACAACATCTGTGCCAACATGTAGACAGACACCTGTTTCTAACTTACCTTCACCAGTAGCTATCTAATTGACTGATGGGAAATTCCTCAGACTTCTCCCCAACATCTTCCCATGACCTAAGCCCACAGAGGCAGGCTCTGAGAGCCCTGTGCCTAACAGAGTTGGGATAAGGATCCGGCTGGAAGCCTGAAGAGGCATCCACCTGGACTCTGCCTGCCCTCCTGGACCCTGCCTGCCCTCCTGGCCTGAGAGCATCCCATCTTAACAGGCCTCACCTGTTCCTCCCCATCGTTTCATGGTCTTTGACCACCACATGAAGTTCAGAAGTCTGATCCAGGGGGATGCCCTTGAGGTCCCACTCAAAACCCTGGAAGAAAAGGAGGAAAGGCATCTCAAACTGTGGCCACTTAGGAGAAAGGGCTGTTTCTGGTCCATTCTCATCCCCAGACACTGATCAGGCATCCAAGAGTAATGCCTAGTGGGTGACCGGAAGAATGGGTGGGTGAATGGGTAGGTGGGTGTGTGGGTGAGCGGGTGGATGGATGGATGGACGGATGGAAGGGTGGATGGATGGGTGGGTTAGTGGGTGGGTAGGTGAATGATGGATAGATAGATAGATCAATGAACAGATAGGTGGTAGATGGATGGGTGAATGGAAAGAAGGAAGGAAGGGAAGACGGGAGGGAGGGGAGGGAGGGAGGGAGGGAAGGAGGGAGGAAGGAAGGAAGGATAGGTAGATGGTTGAATGGGTGGGTGGATGAATGAATAAGTGGGGAGATAGGTTGGTGGGTGGGTAGGTGAGTAGATGGATTAGTGGGTGGATGGACAGGTGAATGGATGGATGGATAGATCGAGTCCTTAAGACCCACATGCTCTTCCCAAAGCCAGGCCCTCAGTGCCATGTTGGGTAGGCCCAGCCAAGGGTCACATGAGCTTCCTCAGAGTTTATACATTCCAACCCTTCCACACAAGGCAGTCAGGATCCCAAAAGACCACACAGGGAGTCTCACGCAGAGAGGGAAGGAGTGAGAAGCGGCCACTCAGGCCAGAGGAGGAACTGGTTAATCGGGGAGCTCTGAGGGGAGGAGGTGAGCTTAGAGCAGGGAGACCAGCCTGTGTACAGGTGACAAGGCAGGTAGTAGAGGCCAGAGCCGAAGGAACAGGGACAAAAGGCCTCATGTCCCCCTCCTTCCCCGGGGGAGGTGCCTCCATTCAGAGGCCAGACCACAGCCCTCCTCCCAGGATCCAAGATCCAAGAGGAGTTAGTTGGCTCCTTGGATCTCCAGGCCCTCCCCTCCCCTGAGCATTCCATGAAGAAAGCAACTTCCCCAGGAACCAGCCTGGCCTGTCCCTGCAGAAGCAGAAGAAGAAAGTCAGAGAGGGTGGGAAGCTCCTATACCTCATTCCACACGGGGTTGATGCTGTTCTTGATGACCTTGGTTCTCTTCTTCACCCCTAGGAAAGACACAAGGAGAGATTGGAGACCTGAATCTCACCCCACACCTTCCACTAGTTACGTTCTGAGACTCACACAGCGGCTCATCCACCCTCTAAGGAAGACCTTCCAAAGCCAGTCGGTCCCTGAGAAGCCTGGCTCAGCTGCAGTAAGTGCCCTGTGCCAGCCACACAGCCTGTCTGTAAGCCAGGGGCCAAGGGACAGCAGCCCAATGCAAAGAAGATGCTAAAAATAAAATACCCAAGGCTGCTCATCCCAGTGAGTTCACTGTTCCTGACTTTTAGCTAAAAATGTTAAATACCAGTTTTCTACCTCTGACCAACAGGTGCTCCTACAGGCAAACACCTCACTGCTTATTCTAAATTGCAGGATTCTATTTCTAAGCAATGTCCAGAGTCAGCAAATGCACAGGGACAGAAGGTAGACTTGTGGCTGCCCAGAGCCCAGGGAGGTTGGAAGGGAGAGATTGTTAATGGGCACACGGTCTCATTTGGGGTGATAAAAATGTTCTGAGGTTAGACAGTGAAAGCAGTTCTAAACTTAATAGAACAAGAGCCAGTAAAATTGAATTTTCTTTTCCCCCCTACAGCACCTTTCCCCAAGGAAACATATCTCTTGATTTCTTTTTTAAAAACACTTTTATTTTATATTGGTTTGCAAACAAAATTTGTATATACATTGTTTCATTTCTATATATTATAAATATTATTTTATTCATATCATACAATTTTAAATAAAATTCCCAGGCATTATGGTCTACAAAATTAATCACCATTGATCCGCGCCCACTATCACCCCATCCACTGTCTCTTTCCTAATTCCTTCACCCCCTTTGCTCTGTACACTAAACTCTTCAACACCACCTTAAATTGTATATTCTTAAATGGTTAAAATGGTGAATGAAATGCTATGTGAAGGGAACTCTGGTGCTCTAGTGGCAAGAAGATGCACTGCAATCCCAGAGGTGTGCGGTTCAAATCCACCAGATGCTGTGCTGGAGAAAGAAGGGCATCTCCTCCTGTGCCAATTGGACCCAACTCAATGGTATAAAACAAAGAAAAAAATGCTACGTGAATTTTTCCAAAATTTATTTTATTGTTGTTGAGAGCATTGTTGCTGTCGTTATGTGTTGTCGAGTCATCTGTGACTCATAGCGACTCTGTACAATAGCTCTAAATCCTGCTCTATCCTGTGCCAATCTCACTGTCTCCAGCACATCTAGCCCCATTACCCCAGTCACTGAATCAATCCATCTAAGAAAGGGTCTTCCTCTCCTGCACTGTCCCTTCACCCACCCAAGCATGATGTCCCTCTCCAAGGACTGATCCCTCCTTGCAATATGTCCAAAGTATGTCAGATGAAGCGTCAGAATCCTTATCTCCAAGGAGCAGCCTGGTTTAACCCTCTCCAGGACAAA